GGGTCCTCGTGGTTGAAAGGGTTTGAATATTTCGTCCATCTACGGTAGTAACAAAAAACTATATACTAGTAGCGATGCCCGTGCAAACAGTGCGATTTTCCGTGAAAACAATTCAGGTGATCCGACTGCTTCTGCTTCAGCATCAATGCGGCTCCACCCGATGCCCGCGGCGACGCACGTGACACGTGACGCCACCCCAGCCTCATCACGGTAGAGTCGCAACTCCGTGAGGCGCCAGCCTGGGAGAATTCCAGGAGTCCAAACTGAGGAAAATGGAAGCAATATGGAGCAATTAACTCATGCAATGGAATCATGTTGCATTCAATATCTGTCCAACGCTGCCTGCTTCCCTACTAGCCGCGCACCCTTCACAGGCATTTCCTTGACATGCTTCCCTAGCTCTATCTTCCTTCTGGCCAAGGTGTGCATCTCCTGGCCTCCAAAAGTGGCCGCTGCATTGGACACCACATAACCTCGGGCAAGCATTCTACATTCCCCAACCGACGGCACACACCGGGAATGAGAGTGGGGTAGTAAAGCTTTCAAGTGGTGTTATAGTCCAGAACCTCCTGAGTCCATGGCCAACAGAAAGCAGTTCAAGCAAGCGGCACTGTCCATTTGTAACAGTCTTCAGTGACTCGAGTGGGAGTGACAAGTGTAGGTCGAAGATTCTTTTGCATTCCAGTACGGCAAGGTAAGGCATAATTGGGTGCTATTTGTACCTAACATTTTGTTTTACAAAAAGGAGAAGAAAGGAGTACGAGGAGCCGTCGGAAGGCTGAGAAGTTCCCTATGACCTAAGACCCCTGGCCCTGCCGCTTTGTGGTAACGGCGGTTTACACACACTTAGAGAGGGCTCGCAAAAGCATACCACCAGTTAATGACTCACCGATCTAGCTACTGCATTACCAGATTAGAGCGCTGAGAACCTGATACCTTCAAAATGGCCCTCTGCAAACCGTAAGGTGTGCGATCAGCTCTCACTTCCCGTGCGATCAGGTAGCTTCGTTGACATGGTCCCTGAACGCACACCATGTCCCCCCGCTAATTACGGAACTAAGAAGCCAAGTCAGTGTTGCGTATTCCTTTAAATGTGGGAGTGACACGCACACACTCTGACATTGGTTTGCTGTTAACTCAGTTCCCAAGTTGAGAAGGAAGGTGATGGAACAGCAAGGTGAAAGAGTCCTGTGACTTGAATTGTTGAAAAGATGTTTCACTCGCGCGGCTGGCTGCAATTCACAAGCGGCTGAATGCTGCGGTGGGAAACCTGTTTGTGGGAGTAGCAGGACCATGGAAGCAAACAGAAAGTGGAAAAGCTTAAGCAACAGTTCCGTCAGCGCAGGTACGCCAGGATGGCCAATCCTGGTATCCCGTGTTCAGACTAGCTTCGTTGGGCGTAGTCATCTGAACACGCTACGCCCCCCTGCAGGAACAAAACAAGGAAAACGCTTAGATACAGAGTGTGACACTCCGACATTGGTTTTCTCAGAACCCTGAGGGACAGGGGTTGACACACACACACACACA